GAAATCCTCTGACATTCTTCTTTACAAATCCTCGTTTTGTATTTCTAATTAGTGACCGTTGTATTGTTTTGCTCTCTCCCCTGCGTTTCCGCGTGCGTCACTTCTGAGCGGCGCATGCGCAACACCGACCTCATACATAATTCCCCCGGAACTGCCTCCGTTTACAACAGTGAGCGCAAGCTAGATTCAAGTGATTATTACATTTTGAATATGGATATTTTTCTTACAAAAACGCATCGATTCGCTACAGAAGGCCTTTGTTCACCCCCCGGAGCCGTGTGAGACACTTTTCTTTATGGATGGGCGATTTTTATTTATGTTCTTTTGGACTGAAGCAATGCAACACCCGCTGAGTGGCATTAAACAGCTTGAAAGATCAAAGACAATTTTTAATATAACTCCGACTGGATTCGTCTGAAAGAAGAAAGTCATATACACTTAGGATGCCTCGGGGGTGAGTAAAACACAGCCTAATTTTCATTTTTGGGTGAACTAACCCTTTAATAATAGACATAATGAGTGCTAAAGTTGTTTTCAATGATGCACAACCTGTTCATATATGTTAACATCTCAAAAAATGTGTTTTAGGGTTTCATAACACTTTAAGACCAAAATTACTGTGTTTACGAGGATACTTGCAAAGACCGGCATTTTGGCACATAAAAGTGTGTGTATTTACCTGGTCAAGGCCTATGAAGCGGCTATAAAAGTGGCAAAAATAACTACGTTTAATACTCCCGTGCACAATGAGCATTGTTTTCGCGTGCACGCCTCCCTGACAGCTTTTAGAAACAGTCTCTCGTGCATATAGTGAAATGAGTTCTCTTTCAATGGCTTAAAATCACTTGTTTTTTAACTGCAATGCTTAAAGATGTGCAAAAGATAAGGTTTCGTGACCACGTAGCACAGCAACGTCACGTGAGCGTGGAACCGCGATAGAAACGATAGTCCAAATTCTCTACCGGTTGACAAATTTCTACCGGTTAATCATGTCTACCGGTATATCGCCCACCCCTAGATGAGGGTTTAGCTTCAGGGTTATTAGTTGAAAAGCTCCACTGAGTCGAAATCTAGCAATAATAACTCAACAAAAGTGTAAAACCTTTCTACACTCAATTTATAATGTATTGACTGCAGTATTTTCTCAAAACGGGTAAAGCCACAAAGCCGAAAAACTCGCTCCCCGGAGCGCCAGGCTAAACAGGTTAAAGTGGAGCACAAGAAGACTGACAGATCTTGTAGTCGGGCAGCTTACTGTAGCAGAGCAGACAGATGGACGGCTTTCTGACGCTAATGAGGATTTGTGGGCTCTGAGTTTGAGGTGCTGAAATGTTCATTGCTTCGTAGAGATCAAGCCTTAAATGAGCGCAGCTATACGTTCGGCTACATGCAGATACAATAGCTTGGTGACTTGTAGAGAAATAACTACCAGCAGTGTGACGTGATCATTTAATATAATTAAAATAATCAATTCGTCATGGGAAGCACAGAATGGAGTTACTAGAATCATTATTGGCACTATGCAAAATGGTTATTAACACAGCGCAGAGATTGTTTGTGATGATATGTGTTCGGTTGAGGAAGCCAGAGGCACAGCAAACAGCAGCGCTGTAATTAAATATCAACAGGAAGTCGCTCACACAACAACAGAACTCTTTATATCTTTAAAGCAGAGGCTATGAGCCTGAAATACATCTTCAATTAAACAATGTGAACACACTGACAAGATAAACGACATAAAGCTGAGAGAGAATTATGAGAGGTCTATCCAATCCTGATCTTGGGCCTGGTTTTGGTTTAAAGACAACACAAAACAACACATTTTACTTCTGTAATGTGATGTATTCCCAGGGGTAAAGGATATATCTGCAGGATATTGGATACTGGTCGATATTTAATTGATTCATTTAACTGTTCATGCATATTTCTTCTATTTTTACATTTAGATTAGCTCTGTCATCATCTATCGCTCACTTAAAGCAGTGTTGTTATCGGTAACTAAAACTATTAAAAATAATTTCTGTTTTCGTAAATAATATTGAAATAAAATAAATAGTAACTAAAAGAAATAAATAAATAAAAATAAAACAAAAACACAAACTGAAAAAAAATTTGACAATTGTTGCAATTATATATATATATATATATACAATATTGCACAATACAATATTGCATATATTTAATTTTAATATCAGTCATTTATAAATGAATAATTCATAGGCTTATCGGTATCAGCCAAAATGTTTAATATCAATGCATCCCTACAGGTACCTTTAATTATAGCAGAATAATAAATATAAAGGGTCACTGTCTGACCAACATGTAAATTGACCAATCAAAGTTTGTTTTAGTAAGCTGTTCAAGAGTGGGGTTTATCTGAAGTCATTGGTCAGATAAGTAACAGATTTAACCACATTTGAAAGTGGCCTGAATTGGATGTCAGAAAATCAGATTGTGTTTTTTGCCATTTATGCATAATATCCAAGATCCACCTGTGCCAAGATCACTGAAATACAATCAGCGTTTCAATGAAACATGTGAAAGAGCAGGTTCTCTCACCATCTGAATGGGCTTCTTCTGCAGGTCTCTCTCGGTCACCAGTCTCTCCTGGTCGGTGACGTACAGGCCCTTCTGAGCCAGAGCCTGGATGACGGCGTCATGACCCAGCAGAGGTTTAACAGCGTCGCTCTTCAGAATCAGACTTCCTGCTCTGCAGTACAGCTCAGCTGACAGCAGCAGGCCCACCACCGGAGGCTTCAGGTGCTCCTGCTCATACTGGTCCCTGTAGAAGGGCTCGCTCAGGTCGTCTGGAACACTGTCTGCAAGATGACAGAACCACAAGTAATGTTAGCCATTTTGTAATGAATATTCAATTTCATAGTGTATATTATAATATTGTGATGCCTTAATTCACTTTAGCATTTAAAAAGATTTCAGTTTTTAGTAGTTTTTTTTTTTTCAATCATAATATCAGCTATTTATTTGTTATTGGCCATAACATAAAAACTGTTTTCAGATTATCACCATTGGTATTTAAATCTAAATACATAATATTCATCACATTAATCAGTCCCTCTAGTTTTTGCAATTATGCGATTGTGGAATACAATGCAAAAATTTTTTTTTGCTATCCTGCATAACTCACAATTTAACCACAAAATAATTGTAAAAAGCGCAAAAAGTTATTGACATGTTTGTGTAACAAAGAAACATGTATGAATGAGAAAATACGAACAAATTTCACATTTTGTAGCATTTAAAAAGGCTGATTTTTTTTGGCAATTTTATTTATTTAGACAAAATTTGCACTTATTTTTGCTGCTGTAGCATGGAAATTTCCCCATTGTGAGACGAATAAAGGTTTGTCTTATCTTGTCTTATCTTAAAATAGTATAGAATTGTAATATTGGCTATTTATCGGTCATTGGACTTAATATAGCAATAATTATTGGCTCATTAGCATTGGTATTTATTCATAAATATATATAATTCGTCATATTAATCAGTCCCTCTAGTTTTTGCGATTCTGCATTCACGAAACACAACGCAAAATCTACAAAATGTCACTTTTTTGCAATTATTTGCATAATTTGCCATTAACTGCAAAATAACTGCAAAAAATGCAGTACTAAGTTATTGACATGTTTGTGTAATAAAGACACATACAAAAAAGGTTCAAAATTCACTTGTAACATTTAAAAAGACTATACTGTTCTATACTGTTTAGTTTAGTATAGAATTGTAATATCGGCTATTTATCGGTTATTGGCCATAACATAAAAATACTTAGCGCTTATTAGCATTGGTATTAATCATAAATGCATAATATTCAATATTCATTAAATGCATAATGCTGCATAATTCGCAACCATAAAATAATTGCAAAAAGCGCAAAACATTATTGACATGTTTGTGTAACAAAGAAACATGAATTAATAAAAAAATCCCCACAAAATTCACATTTTGTAGTATGTAAAAAGACTGGGCTTTTTTGGCAATTGTATTTATTTACACAAAATAGTACAGAATTGTAATATAGGCTATTTATCGGTCATTGGCCTTAACATATATATAATTATCGACTTATTAGCATAGGTATTTAAACATAAATATATAAGATTCATCATATCAATCATTCCCTCTAGTTTTTACAATTCTGCAATCGCCGAATCGGCAAAATGTCCTGGTTTTTTTTTTTCCCGCAATCTTGCATTATTAGCAATTTAACCACAGAATAATTGCCAAAAAGCACAGTACTACTAATGTTTAACCATGAAACATGCACAAATGAGAAAATAAGGCACGAAAAAGAATTTGCTTATTTTTAATAACAAAAATTTAATTAAATGACAAAGTAACTATGTCTATAAGATTTGATCACCAAAAGCCACAAAAATATTGTGAAATCCTGGTGGGACTGATTACTTTCATATCAAGATGCCTTCACTCTGTTATATCATAGCAGACAGCTGAGCTGGCGAGATTTTTTTTCCCTGAATTGCGAAGATGAAAGTACTTTTCATCTTCAGGACAGCTAAATATAGCTAAAGCCCGGTGTTTTCCGATCCTCTGTGCAAGTGTAATTTACTCTCACCCGGGAAGATGAAGGAAAGGAGAAAGCCCTTAAAGGAAGCGAGACAGTGTCTACCACACGGCTACAAAATCAAAAATATCATTAACACGTGTTCACACGCTGACAGAATAAATGGGTTCACAGATCCGAATGAGGTCACCGTATCCATGGAGAATGAGATGTTTAGCTATTTATGGAGACGGGTGAGAGTTTGGGAGAACGCTTGTATCCTTATTACCTGCACATGCTTTCAATTTTCTGTGTTAAACCTGATTGTGGTAACGGCAAAACAGATTTGAAGCATTCCGTACCAATGAATGTCTTACAAGAGATGTCGACAATACGCAAAAAACGACAAACTACCTTTAATGTTAACGAAAGCTTTTAAAATGGGTCTATATGATAAAACAATAGATGGTATCAAAGCCACAAGGCGTTGACGGTGGAAGTAAAAAAATATGAGTGTCGGGCTGCGGTTGCCATGGCAACAATATGGAGGCTGATCGATTCCCCTGCCATACGTATGTATCCAAGATCTCCTCACGAGCCTCATCAAAGACAGATGGAGAGAGAGGAACTACACAGGTGCTGAGATTCTGTGCTTTACAGACTGACAATATGTCCAATATCATGATGATGATTCACTATATTTTTGTCAGCGATATAAAATGAAGTGATTCCAAAGTTTTTAATAGACATTGTAATTAATTTCTGCAAATCAGTTGAAAATGTGCATTTCAGTTGATTTCATCTGTGAAGTGAATTAAAAGTGAATAAGATTAAACGATTCATTAGTGTCTTCAAAATTCACTGACGTTTTCGCGTGGCATTTTTGATGTAATTAAGTTTGTTTTAAATATGTGTAGAAAAAAACACTGTTTTTAAATATATATTGTATTTTACTGTTTTTTAAATATATGTCGTATATATGTTGTTATTTACTGTATTTTACTATATATATATATATATATATATATATATATATATATACTGTGTGTGTGTGTATGTAATTAAAAACACTATATACAGATGATTTATACATATGTTATAAAAATTAAAAATGTAAAAAAAAAAATGTTATTCCGAAAATTACATTTGAGTGTTTCGAAGGCTAGTATAAAGGCCAGTAACACCAATAACAATGACTCACCTAAATTATTTTTTTTTTTTTTATTTCTGGGACAATACAAAAAAATATATAATTACAATAAATTAAAAAAATTAAAAGCCATGCTTAAATTGCTAATTATCAGATTTTTATATCTATACAGCTTTATCAGTATTTATTTATTTATTAAACTACAAAACATATTACACCAACTTTTTAACTTAAATTAACTATTCAATAACTTATTATATTAAATGTGAAATTTATCTGTGCCTTTTATTTAGTGTGTTTGGTGATGTTTCAGCTCTCGCTATTTGAATGAGAGCTGGCAGTTCATCTTTTACTCACTTTGAAGTTTATTTCACGCATTCATCTTCACAATAAATAAGTAATAAATCCTCGGTCAGTTTTCAGAAAGCAATGTGCTGTCAAGTAAGAATGCATTGAAGAGATGAACCGAAAACAGAGTGCATGCCATTAAATGACCAATTATCTCTATCTTTCCCAACTGACCAAAATGGATCAATGGAAAGGATTTTATGGACTTTAAGCTGACCACTCTTTTTTCATTCAAACAACCGCTTGTATTTCATTTGAACTAGTCTGTTGGCATCATCCTCCTTATATATATTTTAAAGCCTGCTACATTGTGTTTTAAATATTACTAAAATGTGTTGATTTAATAATTCTTCGCATTGAGAAACGCAGGCTTTTATCAGTTGTTCTGTCATCTGTCATAAGGTTACACCTCAAAACAAGTCAACAAACAGGTCAATAACACCCTTAAGGCCTGTCACTCAGCCTACTGAACATTACCATATCCTCACCCTGGAGTTCAGTGACTTGTTCATTGAATTTAAGGTCACTTTAAATCAAAGATGCTAAACAATAACCGCTCTGACAGCAAGCGTTGTCATTTGTGTTGTGCATGGGCCTGAAGACCCGACTGCGCATTTTAATGAGACAAGAGGACCTAAAGGAGACCAGATGGCCGGTGGTCATCAGTTAACCAATCACAATGGGTCTGTGCTGTTAAACTGAACATATAGCTCAACGCTAGCTATCAAATAAATCCGAATGTCAGTGTCAATCCACATGTCAAGCGATATGACTGAATATGAATATGTAACTACATTTATGACCATAAGGTCAGATTCAGGACACAATGTGAGCTGTGAAGATGAAATTAGGAGATGATTAATTTTGTCACATTGTTCACCACAGTGTCAATGAACACTTTTGAACTCTGTGGCTCATATATCACAACTTTGGTTCTTGTTAATTGAAATTCTGACTGATATTCTGATATCAAGTCAATCCCCTTGTGAAAAAAGTGTGCTTCAATGTATTGGTGTACTTGTAGTGCACTTAAAATCTTAGAAGTATATATGTTTTTTAAACTGGACTTGCAGATGTAATATTAATGAAATAAAAGGCCACTTAAGTGCACTTTCCTGACTTTTTCAAAACACACTTAAGTACACTTTTAAAATATCCACTTTGTAATAATGTCAAATTAAAAGTTTTACTTGTTAAATCATTATGTTTTAATTATCTTTTGTCATGCTTTAATTGTAATGTGTTGACTAACATACTAAAGCACATTTAAAATACTTACTTATAATTTGAGTGTTTTATTCACTATTACATTTTAAGTTTATATATTTTAAATGTACTTAATTGCAACTTCATAATTACAAATATGTAATTGAAAATATATATTAAATACATAATATACAAGCTTCAACAGAAATGACATTAAAATATATTTTAGTTTGCCATAAATGCTTGTCAGTACAGTTTACTTTAGCCATATCTCAAAGGAAGTTCAACAAAATTGCATTTCATATCAATTTAAACTATAATCCATTTAATTAAATCGCAAATAGCATGCAGTTAAATGTCTGAAAACATTAGTCAGTTCACACTTAAGTATATTCTTTTAAAATGTTTTTTGTAATAAGTACTCTTTTTGCTAAATTGTACTTCTTTTTCACAAGGGACTGCTGTTTCAACATATAAATGGAAAAAACATTGTGTAAAGTGTATCGTTTATAAAATTATACATTAATTGGATGGTAGGCTAACCATTCGGGCATGCTAACAATACATGCTAACAACACTGAATGATTAGCATACATTTACCGTGGTATTTACATGGTACTTCTAGGTAACGTTACTACAATGGTACATATCTACAAACCATGCAGTACTTGTTTTGTTAGTGTTGGATAACATTTTACATTACAGCATTAAGTAGTGGATACAATTAATAAAAAGTCACTTAACATGTGATTGTTTATGAAGTTACATATTGTTGAATATTAACATTATGTAACATGATTTACTACAAAATCCTTCTTTTAGGGGTATGCATGAGCAAAATGCACTTATTAACACTGAATATTACATTATAAAATGCATTCGTATTTAAAATTATATTTTCACATTTACATATTTTTCTCTATTTATAATTGATACCAAATGTATTCACTGCAACACATTGGAAATCAAATCAAGAGACAAAGATGATGGTGGAGAAAGAGAAACACGCCACCTACCTGTACCAAAGGCTTTGGCCACCAGCCATGTGAGGCTGGCTCTGATTTTAGCTCTATTAAAATCATAATGATCAAAGGACTTGATGGCAGGAACAATGAAAGTGTTTTTCGGATCTCTGGAGTCGGCCAGATCTCCCATATTCACTGCTGCTGTGTCACATCCAGCACTTACAACGATGACATCTCTCCGAAGGAATTCAACGCATCAAATCGGACTTTTGCTTTTTTCTCTCATACATAGATCAGATTTTGTAACATACATGTGTCAGGTCACTGTTATTTATTTTCACATCTATTTCGGGCCGATCCGGTAATAAAAGTGGGGTTCTGCCCATAGAGCTTCATCCATTCTGGTACCCCAGTTTTTCTCCTTAATGATCCTTCATGTCCCGAGTTAGGAGGTGTCGCTGTCTAAAAAGTCTTTGTCTTCTTCAGGACGTCGCCATACTCTGGCCACATATTCCCATCTGGATATTTACGGTTATTCTCCCACTATTCATCCAGCGTCCTGCGGTCTCCCCCTGCAGCGATGTGTGAGAGTGAGCCCTCTGCGCATGCGCGCTCCGCCCAACACGCCAACAACCCCAAACTGGCAGAAATTGGGACTGTGCTAGAAATATGATCCGGTGACATTTTAAGATTGATTTAATCATTTTATAATAGAGAATCATTACAATATTCTATCTATCTATCTATCTATCTATCTATGTCTGTCAGTATATCTATCTATCTATCTATCTATCTATCTGTCTATCTGTCTATCTATCTAGTCTGTCTGTCTGTCTGTCTGTCTGTCTATCTATCTATCTATCTAGATTCTCCATTATAAAATGATTTACCATTAGTTCCCCAATGTACTGAACTCAAAAATATTTATTTATTTATTTATTATAAGCAGATAAAATAAGTACAATAGATGAATTTCACAAAGATTTTTTTTGTCAATAAAGGTAAACAGTTATCTGTTACCTTTCATTTTTGCCGAATATACATGAAAATATACATAAATATATGTTTTTTTTTATTCTGAATATTAATCTCTCAATTATATATTATTAACCAATATAATAATATAATTACAGTTTTTCTCAGTCGCTTTGGTGCATTTCTCAGATCAGAAATGAAATTCTCAAAACTACTTGTTCAACCTCCACATCATCTAGTCACATCTTGTGCACATCATAAAAGCAGTTTCTCATTCTTTTGAGCAAGTTACGATTGCTTTGGTACATTCATGCAATTGATTATGTACATTTCTCTGCGGTTTCCTACATTATCAGTTGCTATTGTCATGTTGCTCAAATTGTATAGTTCTCTGTGCAATAGTCTTACCCCTCAAAACATCTAGGCATTAGTTCATCGTATAAGTCATTCAATGCAAAATGTTTGAGTTGCCATAAACTGTCAATCAAATTTTCTACACATTTCTATTAGACTTTTTGTAAATTTGCCAGGAATTGTGCAGGTGAATCTTGACTTTCACTAATGAAGAGAATATAATGATAAACCAGTTCTCTGAAATAGCTCAAAGGTACATCTCATGAACCTTCAATTGGAAAGCATGACGTTTTTTGTGGGCGGAGCCTATCTGGAGGCAGAAAATGAGGGTTTTCAAGCGGCAGTCTATGGAGCCATGGAATAAAAGAATTAAAAAAACGTAAATTTGATTTTATATTTCAGAATTATGACTTTATTCTCGCAATTCCGAGATTATATCTCACAATTCTAATAAGGAAAAACAACTCTCTTTTCCCCTCGGCTCTTCTGTCTTTTTTCCCCTCACTAAGGTTTAAATAATATTTCATGCTGTAACTGTAGGGCTAATACAATACGATTATTGATTAATACATTTATTTATGTATCATTCTTTTATGTTTTATTTATTATTTATACATATTTGAACCAGTGTTATTATGAATATCATTCTCAAAAACGCCAAAGGCAGATACCATGCTGAAGATGGGATTCCAGCAACAGGTCCCTGAAGAGCATCAGACGCTGTTGACTTCAGCCACCATTCCCACAGGAACAGAACAGCTAGCGGCCCGTCTCACCCGTGACCCCGTGACCCCGTGAGCATTACCATCGGTCAGAAGAACCAACCCTGCGCCAACGTCCATCAGGTAGTCCTCTGGGTGGAGGAGCCGTCAAAGAAAAAGAAGCTCTTTGAGATTTGAAATGTAAGTATACTGTAGAAACCACATTCACATTTACTTGCATGTGTTATTGTATTTTGGTGTTATGTACGATTCATCAGTGACAACAGGAAGTTGATTTAAAAGCATTCAGATTTAACTACAAAATCATCTGGATTGAAAGCTTCTGTCGACTAGCTTGTTGACAGAAATGCAGTTAGAGTGGAAGTCTATTGGGCAATCTTTGCCCTCCTCTCCAGAGGAAATGGGTGGGACCTCAAATGGCTTTGCTCCAGGAAAACTAGCAACAGGACTCACCACCAGAGACCGAGAGCAGGAAATGGAGCATTTATAAATCACAGGCCGTGGAAATAAAATGACTGCCCCCAAGAAATCGTCAATTAAAACAAATAAATATTGTATATTTATATTTTAATGTATAATAATACTATAATATATATTTGACATCTTAGAGCAATTGTCCACCAACAATATTAAATAACTAATAAATATGAGAGTCTGTATTTAATATTATATTGAATATTTTAGAACAATTGTCCATCAGAAATATGAAATAACATAAATGGTAAATATGTATTCATGAATATGAAACTGAATATGAAAAAGAAAATAAATAAACACAATTCTTTATTAATAATATATTTCATAATGTAGAATAATTGTCCATTAATATGAAAGAACAATTGATAAGTTCATATTTAGAAATATGAATATAAAACTTTAAATTTCATTTTAAGTGTCCATAAAAAATATATTAACAGTTGATAAATATGAATTCATAAAAATTGAAGAAATAATCAAACAAAAACAAACTGTTTATAAATATTATATTACATTACATTATATTTTAGAATAATTGTTCATCAAAAATTCATACATGTGAAATTAAATGAATAAATAAATACATAAATATATTATGTATTAATATTATAATGAATGTTTTATAATTATTGTCCATCAAAAACAGGAACAAATATTATTGCTCAAATTATTTTTTAAATAATTTTTATTTAATATTTTTAAATATTTAAATATCAAATATCAGAATTGTAAGTACTGGAATTAAACTGCCTTTTTTTTTTTTACTGTGAATTTAATATGAATGGCACATATTTGTGGGTTTGTTTTCATTAGAATATGATCTACATTGTGATCTTGTGTGTGTGTGTGTGTGTGCTCACAGGACAGAAAGCTTTACCAGCCACCAGTAGTTGTGTTTGTGGACTGCAAACTTGGGGCTGATTTGCTGTGTGAAGCTGTGCAAAAGGTCATGTGATTGAATGCAGTCGCGATCCACTCGGACAAGCTGCAGTGGGAACACAACAAAATTGTAAAGGTAATGAAAAGATATTTTAAAAATATTATATTATATTTCATATATTTGTTGGTATTTTTTTTTAAAAATATTTTTTTAATTATTGTGCATTAAAATGTTAAAAAACAATGAATAAATATGAATTTATTCATATTAAATAAATCAATAATTCTGGATGAAATATTGTTTTTAGGGTCTTCTCGAGGGCCAGTTTGAAGTGGTGGTCAGCACTGGGATTCTCGGTAGAGGACTGGACCTGGTCAATGTGAAGCTGGTAGTGAACTTTGACATGCCAGCTAACATGGATGAGTATGTTCATCAGGTATGACGTGCTTCATGAATACAATTCTCAATTCTTTAAGGAATCATTCAGATTGGTCGAGTGGGTCGGCTGGGCCACAGAGGCACCGCCATCACATTCATGAATAACAACAAGCGGCTGTTTCTGGACATTGTGAACCGAGTGAAACCCACGGGCTCCATCCTGCCGCCACAGCTCCTCAACTCGCCACATCTGCACGAACAGCAGAGGAGAGCCAGACAGAGGAGCAGCCGTGCAGAAGACATCCTCATATCCAAGAGCAACCTCATCGACATCATCAGGAAGCATGACAGACCATCTGCCAACAAATAACACGCACATCCATTTATTAGTAAACGTTTTATTGCTGCTTTTGTAATTTGTATTTTCAATAAATGCTACAAGTGAATGAAGAAAATGTCTCTTCTGATAATTACACAGTACACACACCATAATAACGTCAACCCACATGGTAGACATATCAGTAATGTTGATGGAAAAGTATATAACAACACTAGGATTAAAAACCTGTTAACTGCTTACTGTGCCTTATACATTCATGATTTTATAGGACAATACATGTAATTTTACTTTGAAGATTACCATTAAAATTAGCAGAGAAAGTCAAATTTGACTATATATACACGTGTGTGTGTGTGAATCACTTTGAAAGTTAGCCTTTTTTGTTAGTTTCAGCATTTTCTACAGTAAAGTTTAAATTAACTGCAAATTATATATATAATATATAATATAAATACAGTTTTTAAATAAAAATGTTTTTAAAGTAATGATGTAAGTAAAAGAAAACGAAGCTGCAAATCAATAAAGTTTTATTATTATTATTAATTAAATCAGCATAAAGGCAGTAAAATGTTGTAGAGTTTAATATATATAATATATGCTGTCTATACACACACACACACACACACAATATACATACATAAAATTATATATTTATGTCCATATATAAAATATTGAACTAACATAAATATAAATAATAAATAAAATATACAAATAAAAATATATTTTAACTATATAACTATTGATTATATATAAAACGATTGATTATTTCAATTATTATTGTTATTTATTTGTTTAATAAATAATGCACATATAAAATAATATATATTAATAATATATTTTCATACTACACTTTATTTTACGAACGAAAATTTTGATGTGACAATGTGCTTCATTGCGACTTCATTGTTTATATAAACAGGCTTTATTGTCCGCATATTATTTTTA